CGAGCACTGAATCGAATGAGAATCAAGCCTTTTTATTATTATTTTTTTATATATTATTATTATTATTATTTTCAGATTAAAATAAATGAGTGCCACAAAGAGGGTTTGGGTTATCCTGGCACAGTCAGACTGATTATTATTATTATTGTTATTGTTATTATTATATTCTGTAAGCCACTTACAACGGAGGTGTAAGTCGTGCTAGTCTCGGGATATTAGTACTGATCAAGACCCTCACAGTTTAGGACATTAAAGGTATATCATTGTCTGTTATAATTACCTTTATATGTTCAGACTTAATTGCCCCCTTACATACAGAGGACAACACCCCCACGGGGAGTCGGCGTTAGAATGGGACCCAACAACTTACAATTATACTTGTCGTAAGAGGCGCCTAAATGGGATGTCGTGGTGCTATCGTTATTTTTTATCATAATATCTATCACAGGATTGTCTGCTCCAGGCTTGATTATTAACGGGGCGGTCGGGTAGCCTAGTTGTTAAAGCGTTCGTTCCTCACGCCGAAGACCCGGGTTCGATTCCCGACATGGGTACAATGTGTGAAGCCCATTTCTGGTGTCCCCCGCCGTGATATTGCTGGAATATTGCTAAAAGCGGCGTAAAACCATACTCACTCACTTGATTATTAACAAGCTGGAATATTGTTGAAAACGATATTGAATGACTAATTTCCAGATTAACGAATCATGTTAATGAAATAGTGTTCATTATATGAAGGATACCAACACCATTGGTTCGGAAGGCGGGTTTTCACTGTTTCCGGATAGACACCGTGACTTTACCAATTCGTCCACAGCTCACTTCCAACAAGTGTTTTCTATAATCCTTTAAGAGGTTTACAGGTTTCGGAAAAAACGGACTTAGGATCGTGTCGGAGTTTGTGTGTATTTTGAATAAGTCAGTCCCATCAGAATAATAATTAATTTTAGCTAAAGATTAAAAACGAATCCAATTAATGCATATGATGTGTAACACAAGACAGTCCGTGTAATCTGTAGGATTGTGATAGTGTGTTGGGGTCCGTGGAGGGACGGCATGGCGGTGATGGGGGTGCCGGCACTGACTGTGTACCGCTGTAGAGTAGCGGTAATCATATCAGACAGGGCCGCCGGGCTGTAGGAGACACCTCCACGCACTGACTGATACATTGAATTATCTGATAACCATGACTGTATACTAGTTTGTGGTTACTTACTGGGTCGCTATACATTCCTTTAATCAGTATACTCCCCATGACTGTATTCAATAGTTAGGGGTGGATTAAGAAACATGTCCAAGCTATCGTTACATATCAAGTCCGTACATTCCAATTAGACCCGTGAAGATTCCGGGGTAGAATAGGTCTTCAGCAACCCATGAACGCTGTAAAAGGTGACTATGCTTGTCGTAAGAGATGACTAAAGGGATCGAGTGGTCAGGCTCGCTGACTTGGTTGATGCATGTCATCGATCCCAATTGCGTGGATCGATGCTCATGATATTAATCACTGGATTGTCTGGTCCAGACTCGATTATTTACAGACCGCCGTCATATAGCTGGAATATTGCTGAGTGCGGCGTTAAACTACAAACCAACCAAACCAAACATTCCAATTATCAGTGTATAAAGAAACTTATCAGTAAATGATTCAAGATATAAAAATGTTTAAATATTGTCAGCTTTGGCCAAGGACGTCTGTTGAATTTGAATGTTCGTATAGTTAATAGCCGACTTACTTTTGTTTGATAATCAAACTTTTATTTTTTTGGTTTATTAGTTCAAATGATTTTTTAATTGTTGGAATGTGTATATATGTCACATCATGGTGGACATGTAAAACGTACGACAAACAGATCCCTCTTAATTCCTCACTCCAATTAAAGCATCGAACAGTTTGAGTGTGTGCTATGTGTGCATCATCCTCGATAATCCAGTGTGTTATATCTCCATTCTATTCTTTAGCAGAACAAAATCGAAGATGTACAGGTGCATATGAATTGGACATTTACAGTTTCTAACCGAGATGAAGGGTGTGACTTAGCATCGGGGAAGGTCGGTTGAACCAGTTTGGGGGCATCAGCTTGTTGTTTCCTAATAAACTTGCTTAATAGTAGAACTGGCTCACACAACTAGCCAGAGTATTCCCCGGACTCGAAATTCATCGTCACCTGTTTCTCAATTTTTATAGACTTTTTTTTAATAATAATATTTTGTTCACCATTTTGTTTAGGCAACAGACCCACGCCACGTTGCAGAGTATACAATTAAACGAGTATGTTATCCTGTACGTAACCGATTCTCTTTCCACTTAAGTCTTACGATGTCGATTACGATGTAATTTGATCTTATGAACTCCGAGATAAGATAACAATTTTGTCTTTTCTCGCCAACTTATTTCGTCCAACTTTTATTTGTAAATTCCCAACGTCTACAATGTCGCAGCGGCCGAGCTTACCCATGGCTCACCGTGAGCCTAACGCCGCTACATACAGGTATCGCACGGTGTACGCCCTCGACGTGACATGGGCAGAGGGTGGTGTCAACGCCATCTCGGTAAGCCACATACCAGCATTATCCTTAGAGCAAAGGGATATTACCCAACCCGTGCCCGAAGGGCTCCATTTGCCACACCTTAGTACCCTAAATACCGCATCGCTATTCATAATGCGAGTTTCCATGTACCAATAGGTATCCTATGAATATTTCAAGGCTGGGTATGTGGGTTTAATCAGCGCAGGGGTATATCAGCTACCTCTCTGTTTACTCTGTGCAGACTGGAGGGATATTGTACACCGTCGTCGGAATCCGCGCCAGGACAATGCCGATGACGTGTCGGGTTCATAATTTCGCCGGATTATTGACCCTAAATCTGATCCGAAATGGTGTAATGTGATTAACAATTAGGAAGTTCTGATTTAATCACGCTCCTTAGACCAATAGTCAAAAAGCAACTATAAGCTGAAATAGACTATCAAGGGCAAGATGGATTGCTTACATGTTATCTGTACGGTAAAAGCTGTTTTTTTCTGTACCATGTTCGACACCAAATCTGTCGCTGAGTTGACCGTAAGTCAAGGAAGCGCTCTTCCCAACTCTATTTAAGAAAGTACGTCGGTATGTTCAATGCAAACAATCGCAAGTTATAATGTGCTTAAGGTAAATACGAAGGTTGAATTACACACCTGTATATTAGGCTACAATATCATTTGTGCACCTGCACATTGGTTTTAAAAGTGTGTCGGGATTGTGTTTGCTATCACAACAAAGGATCTCAAACTGTAATTTAATACTGAAGCACTTGACTTAATTATGATGACAGATACGTCTGTTCCGTACAACCTATTTCAAAAAGATACACATATTTGTGCCCAGTGAAGAGTTCCGTCGATACCCACTCTACATGATGTGTTTTAATGATAAATGCATTGCTAAGCGGGTCCTCATCAGTGATCCGTGAACACAAATATGACACTCAACTTCTGAAAATATGGCCCCCTGGTCTTAAAGTTCTCAATTCAGGCCTCACGTTTTCACAGGTAGTGGGTCATCTGACCATACGTATTAAATCCCACCTGAATATACCACACTGCAAGGAGTGGTCGCTTATCCAGTCCATGCGAATTGTATAGATAAATAACCATATGTACCATTACATGTAACAGACTTTCAAACTCTTGCTAAATGTATCAAGTAGGATAGATCTGTACTTTACTGAACATACATGTCAGTGATGCGTGTAGGTAATATGCAACAACACTAAAGCACGTTATGATCTGTTGAATGTAATGCACTGATATCACATGTGATATATTGCCCGACAGTCCAAAGGTAGCTGTGATCTTGTCCAGAGTCGCCCGTGTTATCAACCTACTTTTCCTTGCCCTCCCTTGCCTCACCTTACGGACAGCAGTGAGTGAGTTGGATTTTACGCCGCTTTTAGCAATATTCCAGCAATATCAAGGCGGGGACACCAGAAATGGGCTTCACACTTGTACCCATGTCGGGAATCGAACCCGGGTCTTCGGCGTGACGAGCGAACGCTTTAACCACTAGGCTACCCGGCCGCCCTGTGGACAGCAGAATAAGTGCGATATACATTTGTGATGTGTATGTTTGTTTGTTGTGTAACGTCGCTCTCAGCAATATTCCAGCTATATAACAGCGGTCTGTAAATAATCGACTCTGGACCAGGCCGTCCGGTGATTGACATCATGAGCATCGATCCACGCAGTTGGGTTATGATGATATGCATCAACCAAGTCAGCGAGCCTGACCCCCGGTCCTGTTGGTCGCCTTCTACGTCAAGCATGGGTTGCTGACGACCAATTCTTCCCCGGATCTGACACGCAAAAAAATAAGTCTCCGGGCCGGCCCACCCGATTCCTTTAATCGCCTCTTACGACCAGCTTAGTTTGCTGGTGACGGGATTCCCCAGATGGGACTCCTTCGGGGTACTGTGCTGGTCAGATGATGCTACCGCGTTAACAAGGGCCGACTGTTGGATACGTTACAAGCGTCTGGAATTTGTAAAACGATTATAAATTGTGAAAGAAAACTTGAAAAACACAATTAACATTGTTGGTGGATATACTGATGTCTTGAAATCGGTCCGAAAGAATCGACGGTGTTGTCGTCGAACCGCCGAACAGGATGTATACCTTGATAATGGCATATGTTAACGGTCAATGAGTGAGTGAGTGAGTGAGCATGGTTTTACGCCGCTTTTAGCAATATTCCAGCAATATCACGGCGGGGGGGAAACCACAAATGGGCTTCACACATTGTACCCATGTCGGGAATCGAACCCGGGTCTTCAACGTGACGCGCGAACGCTTAAACCACTAGGCTACCCGACCGCCCCAACGGTTATTGAGAAATCCCAGGTGACTAAATGTGGGGTTATGATAGTCTGGTCGGCCGATATCACGTGGTTGAAGCAACCTGTGGTTTCTCATACTATCACCTGAATGCAGATAAGACATTATCAGCACTATCTATACACACCCATTCTACCTTACAGTTAACAGTGAACGTAGCAGCTGGCGGGACCACTGCAAGTTGTCACCGAACAAAACTCCGCCTTGTTCGAACCTTGTAAACCATCCTCATTGAGAGACAGCTTGGCATCATCATCGGACAGTCTTGTATACACTAGTGCGGAATTTCTGCGTGGATATTCCAACTGCTAAAACCGCACCGGGTTTATTTAGAACTGGAACTATTTCAACAGATAGTTACAAGTTTAATTCGTGTAAGAAAAAAACACCTTTCATCTGTGCGCGTTTAGGATATATTCAATTATAAAGAGGTGAAAATTCTCAACTAAGACGAGGGGACGCAGTATTGGCAGGCAATCTGGAGAAGAGTTGTGAAATCGTGACCCACACTGAGATCTGATAGAGAAGAACCATGCGAGACCTTACCTATATGTGTGCCATGTTGATGGTGTGTATGGCTTCGCCGACGCCAATACGTAAGTTTGACACGGCTGTGCTGATTACGCTCAGGTAAACGTGTTGACACGGCTATTACACCCAGTAGTCTCTGTTTAGTTATGCTGCCTCCTACCCATCGTATTTACTTTGTGAATTTTGCCTACTTGGCATATTTGAAATGATAGACGGTATGGATATCGACAATGCTGGGTTACTGTTTTGATTTTGTATATGAAGACTGCTTATTTTGGTCCATTTGACACGTTCTAAAATTGGACAACTTCACGTAATTCCGCGACAAATGGGGTCGGCAAATCCATTAGCTACTTGTCACGCACACGTTTTAGGTCCTTTTAATCAATATATATCACTTTAGTAGACACACATCGGGTATATGAGACACATTGTTTAACTGTCCTTGGACGTCATTATATATACATGTATATATATATATATACACAGGGTTCACTCCAGGCATTTTCTGACATGGGGCCCTTTATCTGAAAAATTCAAATATTCCACCCACACTTGCCATTACAACGCAATTTTAAATGCCACATTGTCTTTGAAAACGTGCGCCTTTTTTTCAAATTCAGGGTCTAAAAGCAGAGTAAAAGTATTTATGTCATGTTTAGTACGTCCAATCTCTGAACAAACATGAAACGGAGGCGAGTCGTGAGTTTGAAACCACTTTTATCGATTTACCAGAAATATCACAATGGGACACCATTAATGGGCCTCACACATTTGGGGAATTGAACCCGTCCCTTCGTCCCCCTGACAGAAGTGAAGTCATCCTAGAGTTCGTTGGGATTTGTGGCGCTGACTATTAGATAAGTGTACTTCATTTCACACATGTGGCAAGAACAGCCCAACTTTTGGAAATGGTCGATGAAAGCAGTGCACACATAAACTAGTGGTTAGTGGCCTTTTTTGCCTCTTAACAATCCGGGGTCGATTCCACTTTGGTACAGTGTTTATATCCCAGTCTTGCGTGGAACATCCTTTTAGTCACTGGTTTGCCTGGTCCAGACGCCGTTATTTACAGGCGGTTATTTGAGTAAGTCGAATGTAAGTCACCTGACTTGTGAATTATCGTTGCTCATGTCATAAAAAAAAACCTGTTTTGAATGACACAGACCGCAGTAACATAGTTGGGATTGTTACTGACTGCGACGTTAAATATCATTCTTTCAGTCACTCCCTCGTTTACTCACTTGTACACGCCGAGGACCAGGGTTCGATTCCCGACATGGGTACAGTGTGTGAAGCCCATTTGTGGTGTCCCCCGCCTTGATATTGCTGGAATATTGCTAAGGGCAGCGTAAAGCCAAACTCACTCACTCACTTACTCACTTGTACACCCCGACATTGACGATGTCGTATTAACACCCAGCGCACTCAATTGCCCTTATAGACAACAATTTAGAAAGTCAGATACTGGCGTTCCCTCACCATATGGTCCGGGATATGTGATCTACCGCAAGGTGGTTTTCTTCATGGGGTAGTATTTCCTTGTTAATTGTCCCGTTATCTACGTCAGGTGTATTCAACATTAGGGTACCATAGATAGTTATTATGATGCAATCAATGCTTTCTTCATATTGGCTTCCTTTTCTATGACTAAACTAGAAAGGATGGTTCATGAAATACCTTCTATTGTAAATGAATTCATACAAAGTATACTTTAAAAAGCACTATGGGAACATATGCATTATTTTGCATATCTCCCGATCTGCGGGAACAATGGGATCCTGTCACCTATTGGTTCACGGGTAACGTGAATGTGAAGGGCCATTTGATACGCATTACAACTGTGTCACACACTCAGGGGTATTGATAATGAACGCCGTCACCACTTGCTGTTGTACTGGGGTTTTCATGTAATGCTTTTTAGTGTGTAATTTACTGACGTTTAGAGTGGATGACAAATGGCCTCTAATGCGGCTTGCGTTTTTACATCTGACCACACACTCACGCACCTGCTCTGTATACCTTACTACTTTCACAAGAGTTGGACAAACTCAGTTTGTGCTTTCATCGACACTCCCTAGTACATAAGTATATATCAAAGAACTCCATCACACGTTATATGTACCTCAGTTTTGGTATATGTTTGTACAAGGACTCACTGGTTGTGTTGCATCCTAAACGTGCCATGTCCATAGTTTCTTAACCAGTGATTTTCGGTCACGACTTATATGCAACATTTCAATAGCATAAAACTCCATTCATTGATATTGTAAGGAAGGATTATTATCAATTTCCAGCGATGACCACGATAATGTAAACATACGTTCTGCCGTCGTTATTCTCTCACACAGCCAGCGTAGGTTAGAAACTATTCTCTTCCTATACCACATATGAGATGAACAACAGACACGTTTATGCATCTTCCCGAGGCAAGGGAGTTCTCCGACTATTAAAGTCCAGTTTCCTAACTTGCCGAACTAAGTTGGAATTATGGAGTTATTTTTTGGCTGGACTAACGAGTCTTTGCATAGTCCAATAAAAATCACGTAACGAAATCGACATCAGGTCCGTGCAGATTTCGGTCGATTGCAGGATTTGTAAGACATGTATACCACCTACTCGGCGTCAACAGCTATTTACCAAATCTATGTTTTAAATCAAAGTGCTCACGTGATTAGATGCACTTCGAGAAGTAAGACTCGTTTTATTACGATGTAGGTGATACGAGAGGTGGAATCTGATTGGTCAATAGGCGAGATGTAGAAGGGACAAAACTGGTAATAACCACTTGTGACGCTTCAATCGAGCCTGGTTGGTTGGTTTGTTGTTTAACGCCGCACTCAGCAATATTCAAGCTATATAACGGCGGTCTGTAAATAATCGAGCCTGGAAATTCCAACCTAGTTCGGCAAGGTTGGAAACTGGTCTCTTACTGTCAGTTAACTCCCTTGCCTCGGGAAGATGCTTCAATGGGGATATGGTGCGATGGGGAGGTCCAGTAATTACAGCGTTTGTTCGTCACGCTGAGCGTGTTTTCTGCTATCCCCGCCATGATATTGCTGGAATGTTGCTAAAATAGGCGTGAAACCATACACACTCACACACTCACTTCGACATATCTTGATGAGAAACCCATGAGAATTGATTGTAAAATCAAATCACTCCGACCGAGTTTTGCGAGCCTCGTCATGTACTATACTGAAAGGCTTTGTGTGCCAGGAGAAAGTGCAAGTTCTTTCACACTCGTCACCTGCAGACACATTTTTCTTTCTAGGTGTTTACAGCGTTATTTGTGGATTTGTAGGAAGTCTTTGAAGAACAAAAACAAAATACATCACGAACACAATCAGAGACACGGGCCAAACAAGCGTCTCATCAACGCAACATGCTGCTCTATTTTGAGGGGACAGGGACGGAGGTAGACACTTCCGTACACACAGCACATTCCGGGCATGCTGGCAGCTCCTCCGATCAAAGTGCGTCAATTCTAGATTGTTGCAACTGTTAAAACACCGTTAGAGCACCGAGAGATGATGTTTGCTTCACTCCTAACTTATAACTAACAATTAGTGGTATACATATATTTATATCAGTAACAAAGTTCCATCTTGTTTTCGTGTCACATACGTACACAAGCTCTCTTTCTGACGGTTGAAATATCGGGAGTAATATTTGTTTGTGAAACATGTCACATATCAAGTATGTTGTTCGTTCCACATACGAGTTTACTCGACCGGCGCCTGATTTGTATCGTTTGAAAAATTCAAAAGCTATTGCACATTGTACTAATTTCTAACAAAGTTAAAGACATATTATTTTTATAATCCTAATTATATTTTGTTGCGTTCCGAAGCTTGACTTTCCAAACATGTCACACGTTGTAGAAGTATCTATAGTGGCCGAACTGTAGGCTATTCTATAGTGGGTACCAAATTGCACTGTGGCATGTGGGTTCGAATCCTTGGGGCAGAGCATTGCTATATATTCGGGTTTCAGTCCAGGGGACAGAGCAATGATATATTAGCGGGAAAGTCTATGGCTATATATTCGGGTTCCAGTCCTGGCAATGATATATTTGCGGGTTCGAGGCCGGAAACAGAATCGCTATATATTCGGGTTCGAGCCTGAGGGGCAGGGCATTTCTATATACACAGACACAGCAGATTAATCTACCGTTGGAAGTGACAGTATGGGGCAGGGTATTTCTATATAATTATACAGATACAGCAGATTAATGTACCGTTGGAAGTGACTGAGTATGGTTTTTCAGCGCTTTTAGAAATATCCCAGCAACATCACGTCGGGGACACACCAGAAATGGGCTTCGCTCATTGTACCCATGTGAAATATCGCCCCCAACATGGGTTAATAATAGATTGTTTAAGCCAATCAGGGGAAGGAACAACGCACGTCTCAGCAGTGACTGCATCAAAATCTTATATCATTTTAGACAAGCAGGGAAAACGTTTTACTTTATTTAACCCTTTAAACGTCGGTCGTTATTTTTCAGGAAGTAGCGCAGTCTGTTAACGTGATAGTGTCTCGAGGTGGTTAGGGACAAATGTTTCGTGTGAATATTTTGTATGTTATCGGAATTGAAATGTCCAGGGCATTTCCGCTGAGGAAGGGATGCCGGAGTGACTGCAACATGCGTCGTTGCTTCGGGACTCAGCACAGCTGTGTTGGCCGTCCATTGTGGCCAACCGGAGACAGTGCAGAGAAGTCCGCAAAGGTCACTTAACACGGCCCTGCCAAGTCCTAGTAGCACAGACTTGTGTCACGCCGTGACCTTGACGTTACCTTGGCGTGACGTCACACCGTCTGTTCGTCGCTGATGCTAATACATCGTGACTGACGGGATTACAAACTCTCCAACAACAAACCCCCAAATGAGTTACGTGCTGTCAATTTTAACAAGCCAGTTCAGACAACATTTTGCCACTTTCTCCACTCGTGGCGCTTGTCGTTGGTTCTTCCCATCGCGATTTCGTGTTTGCGTAGTGTGGTCGTTATGTATTTACTCAGACACCTGCTGGAGACATGACCTTCGACCCTGCATACATCTCTCACCCTGGCGGAGCTTGCCGCCAGCAATTAAAGTGCAGTATTACGGAGAGGGGTGGTGGCGCACCCCGGTAGTTACCAATAATGTTCAATGGCGATGCGGTACATGTATTACCGCTGATGCAAGGACGGTTATTGGGTGATACCAAAAACTAAGGATGAAAATAATTATCTTGATTTCCTGCATGTGTGTTTAACCGGTTGCTAAAGTTATTAGTCTATATTAAATGAGCGTTGTTTTAGCTTTTGTACCAGCAATACTCCTGAAGATTCATAAGGGATTGTGCTTCATTTTTTACATCTCGAGACTAACTCGTCTCCTCTTATTGGGCGACCTTGTAATATAGTTTGGGGCGGGGTGCTGGCAATTATGTTCGAGGCAGAATGTTGTATCACTCAGATTGTGGTTTCTTTGAAAGGACAGAATACATGTATTTCAGAACATCCGAGCATGACCAGTGAACGATTTGTTTTGGGTAAAACTCGTGGAAAGTCCGTTCCAGTTGATATGTGTTCATTAAGTGGGCGCATTTTGTTTCAGATACATGGAAGTGCGAGGCTCCAAAACCACCTGACCACGGCTTCATTGACGGCACTGACTTCAGCCTCGGCGCCACTGTGCACGTGCGATGTGATGGGGGCTACTATTTGGTTGGTGCGTCGGTGATCACGTGTGTGGCTGTACCGGACCCTTTTCATAAACAAGTGCAGTGGGACCCCATAGGACAACGGGAATGCCAACGTAAGCAATTTTCCTTTGAGGAAAGAAAGGAATGGAATAACTTTCCTTTATTTGAACATGTGCATTTTAGATATTCTCAATGTTGATTGGTCAATTGAAGCGACATGAAAAATGTGAGATATGTGATAACCAACCGGAAACTCAGAAATACAATCAGGGATCACACTAACCTTTCACGTGGGACGGATATTCATAATTTTTTAATAGCTCGTTGGTTATTCTTTCAATAGGTACTGTTACTTTGACAGGAGCCGTCTATCATATTTAAATTATTATGGCGATTCATTAAGACTTTGGTCTGGAAAAAAATTAGATAAGATGTGTAACTAGGATTCGCATTTATATCTGCTGATATGTAAATAATTTTCTCCACCTGTAAACATTTCATCCGACATTTGTACATTTGGGTTGTTGTGTGTTTTTTGTGTCATGTTGTGAAGAGATAAGACTAAGAAGGCGGAATATACACCAATGGATATTTTACACTGTGATGTTTCAGCGAGGAAACGAATGGAGAGTGAGAACGAATTACAGTATAAATTTATTCCCGAGCAAGCTGTCGCCCTCGATGACTATGAACCAAAATATGGTCAGCTCGGATCCGGTCCTTATAGTGACACAAAAGGTGAGACATTCATGACAGACCTATCGCTGCTGACATGTAGGCAGCTAGACTAACATCTAGTCTCTGAAATGAACATATTTTACTGAAAAAAACAGTTGTTAAATTAAATTCAAAATATAATAAAAAGGAGTCGAGAGACCTTCTTCATTTTCCGATGATACTGCAGTAATCTAGACTTGCCAAACATCATAGACTCGCATGGGCTGTATTGGATATATTTGTTTGAGGTTCTGTATGACAGACTAATAGGTAGCCCATGTGTACATTTATCGATGGTATTTATTTATGCTACTATTCCACACAGACCACGAATCGCCACGATTTGTAAATTTTAGGATTCGTGGAATTTAGCAAATATCCTGATTCAATTCGTGACGCTCTACGATCTAGTTACGATACAGGTACGATAGAGTTATGAATATTCGTGGGATTCGGCTGGATTCGCATGAATATTGTCAAGAATTTACTACGATTTACAAGAAGCTATTACGAATACTGCACGAAAGTTAGGAATCAGTTAAGAATACGCCGAATGCATGTACGAATCAGGTACGAATAAAAATGAATTCGTGACTATTCTTGACAATTTTGGGGGTTTTCCCTCAAGATAGCTTCGGCGTGTATTCGTGGGATTCGTGACAGATTCGTAGCCGATTCGTCGTAAAGCCACGAATTCACGAATCCCCGAATGAGTTAAGAATACCTACGAATGCTTACGAATCGATTACTATTCAGTTACGATGCCTAAGAATGCATTACGAATTTGTTACGAATTAACTACGATATTTTTGAATCGGGAGTTCGTGGCGAAAACTTTGAACAGCTCAAAACTCTTGCCACGAATTCCCGATAGCTCAAGAATTGTAAGAACTAACTACGAATATATGCGAATCAGTTAAGAATTTCATGAACTGATTACGATTCAACTACGAATCCTGAAATTTATCAATTCGTGGGTTTCGTGGTCTGTGTGGAATAGTAGCATTACAAGTAAGGGGCAAGGGGGGCCCAGTCGTCGAAGGCGCCGCGATTCGCTGTGCAGAGTTGCGTCTCTTGGGCACATGGAAACCTATGATTGGGGATTCGAATCCCGGTTCGCTCCGAATATGTGTCTAGGTTTGTCAGCACCATACCCGTGCTCCTGGGTTTCACGAAAGTGGTAAACGTCTGAGACCTACATTAACCTGACATACCGCGATATAACTGCAATACTGTTAAAAGCGGCGTTAAACCAAACACACTCACTATTTACAAGTAAGCTATCACTACTTCATTGTTCTTTGCGCTTTTTCGCATATATATCGTGATAGAGACATGACCATTGCGATCGCTAGGTAGAAATGTCCCTATGCTTGTCACATAAGTCAAGTAATTAATGTGGATCATGGGGTCACGCTCTGTGACTTGGCAGATTGCATGACATCGGACCCCCAACGGTTTGGATCGTCGCGCAGGATTTCGGTCACTCGATTGTTTTCATGACGCCGAGTAAAGCTTGAATAATGCTGACAAAACAACAAGTGAATGAGTATGGTTTTGCGCCGCTTCTAGCAATATTCCAGAAATATCATGACGGGCGACACCCTAAATGGACACCCTATACCTATGTGGGGAATCGAACCAGGGCCATGGCGTGACGAGCAGACGCTTTAGCCACTAGGCTACCCCACCTCCCCCACAAAACAAGTCATTTATTCAGTCGTATTAGCTTCACAACAGAGAAGTCAGTTGAGTAGATTTGAATGTCAAGGCATACGCTGTCTATGTTGAGTGTTCTAAACAAACATGGCCGTGATCATGTTCCGTATGACTGAACAGTTATGATATATTCTTTCACACCGCTCCTTGTGTTTTCAGTTACACATGGTCCTGAAGGTTTAGACGAGCGGTGTACATTACCGAAGATTGTCGGAACATGCCGAGCTGCATTTCCGAGGTATTATTTCAATGTGGAGACGATGGAGTGTGGCAGGTTCATTTATGGCGGCTGTGATGGAAACAGCAACAATTTCAAAACTTTCGAAGAATGCCAGCGTTATTGTTCAGTAAATAACGCATAGGCCTATAACTTCCACAGGTGATAATACGACCAGTTATACCAAAGAGACATTATTTGAATAAGTAATGGTTTAGAATCGGGTGATAATGTATTCATGCACTCACGTGCAGTCACACGTGCAATTTCGATATATGGTCATCACGTGTACGATGACGTCATACGTGTTGTGACGTAAATGTGCATGCAAATTCTGTGATGTGAGAATGGATATGGACGTGTCCTTTCATTTTGTTGTGTACATGGAGGCTGTCTGAAGACTGTTTCCATATTTTCCGTAAGCTGATATGTTCACAGCGACATAAGCAGATCCTCAGAGGATTCTAGGTTATTATGTGCCCCGGCAACTGTTGTTGGCGTAAGAGGCATCTTAATGGATCCCGCCGTCATATAACTGGAATATTGCTGAATGTGGCGTTCAACAAACAAGCTTGATGATTGGATAGTTGCTCCTAGTACCAATCACTGGCTTGTCTGGCCTAGATTCGATTATTGACAGGTCTACGTCCTATTGCTGAAATATTGCTGAGTGCGGCGTTGAACAATAAACAAATATACGCAGATCATAAACTATTAACTACCAAATATTTCACTCAAACACATGAAAACGTTTCAGACAGCCCCCAAACCTGTGCGTCATTGTTACAACAGATATACTATACATGTGCATTCTATTCCTTACGCATTTCCGGACATTCTGTGTAGATTCGTGATTATGCCAATCTCATTAAAATCAAATCTTAGTTCTCGCTACCTCTAAACAAAGGATGAAAGCGGTAGTGATCACGAAGACCTGATGTTAACAAGATTGTGATCATTCATCCTTCTGGTAATTAGGACCGTTACACAAGTCTTTTATGTTGGCAAACAACCGCTATCAGCGTTTATCTATCACAGAATCAAATCAAGACGGAAAAGGCATATTTGCTCAAATCCGACACCTGGGTCTTGCTTACTGCAATAGGAGAAATGCATTTGTAATGCTATGGGAAATGACGGTTTCAACGTTTAACCCTTTTTGTATTCACATAGTGTTTGCCATGGAGCTTGTGTGTGAATGGTGAATGTATATAAGAGCCGTTTGTAAGACACGGGTTTGTAACACAGGCCATAATATTGACGTATGATGCTGTAGTAGTTGTGATGGGCCGTCACTGCCACGTGTATTGTGTGGTCACTTTAAGCAGACTCGTCTTCACGATGTGCTCACAACAGGGCGATGTCTGGACCAGCGTCAAATTGTCGCTGACCGAGAACGTTGACAAGGCAGATTAAGCTACACAGAAGCGATCTTGAGATCCACACGAGTCTTCGACATAATCGGAGTCCTAGGCAGAGGAATTTTATGAAGATCCAGTTGGTACACAGTGGTTAATTCCAGATATTTCGAGATACAAGATGTCGAGATGAGTGGAAGTCGCTTATCGTTATGGCTTATCTAGCGTGTATACCAGCAGTCAAGAAAAGAATTGCTTTCCATGACGTTGTTCAAGAGGGCAGTCGTGTGACTAGAGGCGAGCTATCTATCGTGTGGGTCCATGTTTAAAAGTAATTTTATTTCAGACTATGATTTATTGGCCTCAATGTTTTTCTGGAAACATATTGAACCAATTTAATGTACAAACTTTTTTTCTCATCTATTATTAGTTTGTTCCCAGTCCATTAATCACATAGGCGAAACGCAGATAAATATTATTTCCAATACACTTCTATGTCAAGAACATTTTGATCGATCCATTGCCATATACAGTAAACTACGGTTATAACGAACTCAAAGGGACTACTTATTTTAGTTCGTTATAACCGTAGTTCGTTATAAGCATATATACAGCATAACTAGAGCAAATAGTCGGGACCAAAAAAGTAAGTTCGTTATATCCGTCAGTTCGTTATAAGCGTGTTCGTTATAACCGTGGTTTACTGTAATTGAATTAATCTGATCATCCTCGTTCAGCCTCTGTATTACGAAGACCTTACTGCTGACCTGTTCTCATAACTGTGTTGTCTTTTAATATGCATAAAATGTATTTGAATTGTAGATAGCAAGTAGCTATTATGTATTTAATTTCTTGTAATCTATCATTTTATCATACTATTCTCAACCATATATTGAACTAAACGCAAAATATTCGTAGTCATTGCAAAATTGTATTTTGTATCAGAACATCGTGTAGTGGTTGTGGTGGGAGTAATTGTCAGTGATGACGTCAGTTTCTAAGGTGTTGAGCTGACTGGTCACATGTGAAACATCAGGCCCGTTACCGTCACGTCCACCCTTGTCCCCGTGTTGTCACGTTACAAGCCATCATGGAAAACAACTTTACGATCATATATAGGATCTCCCCCTGTGTCTTTCACGTCTTTCAAGGGAGGGGGTTGGTTAGCTTTAAGGTTAAGGCGTTGGCTCGTCACGTCGAAGACCCGGGTTTGATTTTCCCCGTGGGTACACCGTGTGACGCCTATTCGTGGTGACCCCTGTTAGGGTAGTTTGTAGAGGGTCGTTCAGCTATAACTGCCTCATATTAAATAAGTCAGCCCACATAGCTAAGGCTAGGATTCTATTAATTGTTTTGCCGTGTGCTGATATGGTTGATATCAAATGACACGAGTGGAGATCCTAATTATCATCAAACAGTTTTTATGACAAATGAACTGTTAATGACAGTATCATAACGGTGGTATAAATATGTATCTCCTAGTGAAGATATGCAAACATACCCGACTTTGAATATTTCCTGTGGAAACCAGTATTGGATGATAAATGATTATTCAACCTGAAATAATAAAGTTCCTTATGCACTTCGTAAATATGTATTACTGCTATTCAGTGATGGACGTGTATTATGGTATTTAGATAACAATGTTTCTTACATACTAGTATATGAAATGATATTGTGTTATGCCCAGAATGATAGAATGGTATGGATAGTCATTTCACACGTTGAACGCCTCACACTCCTGTGCTGGTTTCTGTGCGTTGCTGCTGTTGAAAGGTTTAAGATGACATGCGGTTTCAGCATTTACCCCGAATGTCGAAATATGAATGTTATAATAAGCTATCTTATAAGTTCTGCGTGTAAATAGATATAAGTGTTATCTCCGAAATCAAAATGCAATAATGTTATCCAATATTTCCATGGTGCCAAAGTATGTACATTGATGTATATTTGATTACTCGTGACCATTGTGTATACGTTGTGTATTCATCGCCTGTAAGTGTACATTGTCTATATGTCATTGTTTATGTACAGATGAATATCAAAATATTATTTAATTATATGATGTGTCGCTGCAAAATTACATCTTCTCATTTTATTGAAATAAAGTCATAATGTTACTCGAACGTGTATCTCATATATTAACTCTTATACGTCATGACTTGGTTGATGCATGTCCCAATTGCGTAGATCGATGCTCATGATGTCAGTCACTGGCTTGTCTGGTCCAGACTCGATTATTTACAGACCGCCATCAAATACCTGGAATATTGCCGAGTGCGGCGTTAAACAACAAACAAGCAAAACAAACGTAAGTCATAATACAGCGAGTGATTTACATTGACGCTTCATTCAATCTAACTCCAGATCTAGAGATATCAGTTAACAAAACAATATTAAACATCCACTGTATATGATTTTCATGAATATGAGTGTGAGTGAATGAATGTGGTTTTACACCGTTGTCGGCAATATTACAGCTTTATCGTGTAAGCTTTTAAATAGTGGAATCAGTTGCAGGTTGCAAGATCAACTATCTACTTGGTCAGGACACAATGACACACAATGTTAGCCCAATGAGATACAGTGGATTTAATCTGCGCTGGACTTCTCACACGATTACAAGGACGAATGAGATTGCTGACTGATCACTTCCTTACTGTCTGTATTCACAGTATATGACAGTGATAATTGAAGCACATTGGAATATATTTTCGACGTTGTCGTTATGTAGTCATACCAAAGCTTGCTTGATGCAAACATATAATTGAAACGATTCCACTTCACATGTGAAATGTGTAAGGAGTGGATTATTACATACCACTTGTAATTGGTCAAGGTCACAAGGTCTAGGTCACTAGAACTATATTGCTAGTCGTTGGGGGCGACTACATGTGATCTGGTGGGCGTGTAACACTCCGTGTCGGAGTTTGTCCTCGTGTTTGCAGTCATTGGCTTGTCTGGTCCAGATTCGATTATTACATGCTGCGGTGATATAGATGGAATATTGCGGCGTCACCCAACACACACATTCGACAATACAGTTAAACATGCGATATAATCGCGTGGATCCGGGAGGTCCGGTTTCCACCAGGACATTGAGTGTTGTAATACATCCAGGGTAGAATAGGTCTTCAGCAACCCATGCTTGCCTTAAAAGGCGACTGTGCTTGTCGTAAGAGGCGACTAACGGGATCGGGAGGTCAGGCGCGCTGACTTGGTTGATGCATGTCATCGTATCCCACTTGCGTGGATCGATGCTCATGGTGTCCATCATTGGATTGTCTGGTCCAGCCTCGATTATTTACAGACCGCCCTCATATAGCTGGAATACTGCTGAGTGCGGCGTTAAACAACAAACGAACAAACGAACGAACGCGTGTAGTAATACAGCGAAGACATGCTAGTCTGTGAACCACGTGTTCAGGACGATTCCAGCTGGGAACATCTTTTATCTACACTGGGAGCACGAGTGATCCAGTCATTTAAAGTGTCGCAATTCGCTGCGCAGAGGTGCTTCCCTTGGACACGCCAGAAACCTATGATCGTGGGTTGGAATCCCGGTTCACCCCGTTTCTAGGTTTGTCAGCGCCATACCCGTGCTCATGGGTTTCATCCAAGTGGTACACGTCTGAGGCTTGCATCACCCTCAAATGTCAAATGATTATAACCTTCTTCACGATAGAAATATGCCGCTCCGATGAGTCGTACCAGTCGTACCGAAGCCCTCTTTGTTTGTTTGTTTGTTGTTTAACGCCGCACTCAGCAATATTCCAACTATATGAAGTCTGTAAATATCGAGTCTTGACCAGACAATCCAGTGATTGACATCCACGCATTTGGGATACAATGACATGCATCAACCAAGTCACCGAGCCTGACCACCCGATCCCGTTAGTCGCCTCTTACAACAAGCATGGGTTGCTGAAGATCATGTCTAACCCGGATCTCCACGAGTAAAGACCTCTTTGAATCCTTTATAGCTTCAGCTATCTGCGACCGATTTAGATATAAACAAATAATGTAATAAACCAATTGTTTTTGTTGAAAGAGATGATACAAAACAACCCCAGTAGACTACTGTTGATAAGTGTCTTATATACACCACGCAATATCAATTTCAATGAATTAGCGGTCTATTTGAATGATAATTTCTTGTTTTATCCAATTTAGCCATAACAATTTCATCCTTGAATGTACTTATTGCGGTAAATTTGAAATATAGGTTTGTAACCGAATTGCGACATATTTTATCTTTTCCGATCCATTTTTCCATTTGAGACAATATACTATTCATACGTCAGAATACCAGGTCTGTGTGGTATACAAACTGCACATTTTGCTTCGCTGAAAACCGAACCTAGCCAGATACGCCCTGGCAGAGTGTATTTTACTGGCGCTTCAAATGGACCTACACGCCGGCCCAGGTTTTGATGCAATTGTAATGTTGAGTGAGGTTTGGTGTTCATAACTAACACGGAGCTCGAGGTCTTTCTGGGTCGAACATAGGGGCTCAGATTGAACGTTGGTAGGCGTAACAGCCTTCTCACGTTTACACATCAGCTGACGTCATATACTTGCTACAATAATTCTTCCACTAACTGTCAGTACATTTACACTACGGGGTACATTATTCCGTCATAAAAAAACAAACGAGAAATCGTATATTCGCCAAACAAAAAACACGAAGGCTCGGAATTTTTTACAAATACAAGCTTTTGAGATCGCTGACGAGGAGTCAACGCACAAACACAACCAACTACACGTGTGTTGAAATAAAACTTGCTGCAACTGGAGAACGAATAACTCGGAGATGCGCAGTGACAAGGGTTAGTTCATAGTGGTACGAGTTTTAGCCATTAGGCTGGAATTGTTCGTTGGAAAAAATAATACACGGTAAAACAATGAGTAACGCCATGATAATTATTTGTAGGGACTGTATCTCCTTTTCCTTCTCATTATGTATGTCTTTTTTACATTTTTCAACCATTCCTGAAAGAGGTCGTTAAACAACAAAGAAAACAACTTTATTACTGAGAATGGTACTTAACTGCCGTCTTAGACATGCCCAGTGCGCATGCGCTACTCCTTACTCATCAACTTACTCACCCACCCACTCACTCATTTACCCACCCCTAAACTCACCCACACATACACTATCTCATACATACACTATCCAACCCCACATTCAACAACCCATTCACTCACTCATTTACCCACACCCATCCCATTCACTCACTCATTTACCCACACCCATCCCATTCACTCACTCATTTACCCACACCCATCCCATTCACTCACTCATTTACACACACCCATCCTATTCACTCACTCATTTACGCACACCCATCCTATTCACTCACTCATTTACATACACCCATCCTATTCACTCACTCATTTACCCATACCCACCCAATTCACTCATTCATTTACCCACACCCATCCCATTCACTCACCCATGTACCCACACCCATCCCATTCACTCACTCATTTACCAACACCCATCCCATTCACTCACTCGTTTACTCACACCCATCCCATTCACCCACTCATTTACCCACACCCATCCTATTCACTCACTCCTTTACCCACACCCATCTCATTCACTCACTCATTTACCAACACCCATCCCATTCACTCACTCATTTACCAACACCCATCCCATTCACTCACTCGTTTACTCACACCCATCCCATTCACCCACTCATTTACCCACACCCATCCTATTCACTCACTCCTTTACCCACACCCATCTCATTCACTCACTCATTTACCCACACCCATCCCATTCACCCACTCATTTACCAACACCATCCTATTCACTCACTCATGTACCAACACCCATCCCATTCACTCACTCATTTACCCACACCCATCCCATTCACTCACTCATTTACCCACATATACACTCAAACACATACATTCACTCACTCATTTACCCACACCCATCCCATTCACTCACTCATTTACCCACACCCTACCCATTCACTCACCTATTTACCCACACCCATCCCATTCACTCACTCATTTACCCACATATACACTCAAACACATACATTCACTCACTCATTTACCCACACCCATCCCATTCACTCACTCATTTACCCACACCCTACCCATTCACTCACCTATTTACCCACACCCATCCCATTCACTCACTCATTTACCCACACATACACTCAAACACATACATTCACTCACTCATTTACCCACACCCATATCCCATTCACTCACTCATTTACCCACACCCATCCCATTCACTCACTCATTTACCCACACCCATCCCATTCACTCACTCATTTACCAACACCCATCCCATACACTCACTAATTTACCCACACATACATTCAAACACATACATTCACTCACTCATTTACCCACACCCATCCCATACACTCACTAATTTACCCACACATACATTCAAACACATACATTCACTCAGTCATTTACCCACACCCATCCCATTCACTCACTCATTTACCCACACATACATTCAAACACATACATTCACTCACTCATTTACCCACACCCATCCCATTCACTCACTCATTTACCCACACCCATCCCATTCACTCACTCATTTACCCACACATACATTCAAACACATACATTCACTCACTCATTTACCCACACCCATCCCATTCACTCACTCATTACCCACACATACGCTCAAACACATACATTCACTCACTCATTTACCAACACCCATCCCATTCACTCACTCATTTACCCACACATACATTCAAACACATACATTCACTCACTCATTTACCCACACCCATCCCATACACTCACTAATTTACCCACACATACACTCAAACACATACATTCACTCACTCATTTTCCCACACCCATCCCATTCACTCACTCATTTACCCACACATACATTCAAACACATACATTCACTCACTCATTTACCCACACCCATCCCATTCACTCACTCATTTACCCACACATACATTCAAACACATACATTCACTCACTCATTTACCCACACCCATCCCATACACTCACTAATTTACCCACACATACACTCAAACACATACATTCACTCACTCATTTACCCACACCCATCCCATTCACTCACTCATTTACCCACACATACATTCAAACACATACA